CGCCAAGTTTCGAGGACCTAAACCATTTAGGGCTTTATATGTAAGCATCAGAACTTTGAAGTCAGCGCGGAACCGAATGGGCAGCCAATGCAATGCGGCCAGAATAGGAGAAATATGATGAATTTTCTCACTCCACTAAGGAGTCTTGCTTCTGTGTTCTGCACCACTTGGAGTTTCCGCGTCAACCTCAAAGGTAGCCCCACGTAGAGTGCATTACAGTGGTCTAATCTGGAGATTACGAGCACATGCACCAAGGTAGTGAGCGCCCCGTGTCAAGATAAGGTCGCAGCCTTATTGCTTTGCTTTGCTTTATAGCCATGCTGCAGCTCTCAAAATTTGCCCTGCAAGATAGTGGCCATGCTCCCTGGGATCTATCATGGAAAAACACAGATCTGCCCAGGCTTAGTTACAGTGATGTATGTTTCTGAACATCATGGACATCCTCTGGCGATGACCTCTTGTAGGTGACAACTGCAGTGAGTGGTGTTGATTTTTCACCCAAGCTAGACTAACATGAATATAATGTCAATGAGAACACCACATCCCTCATTCTAGTCTGGAAATACAGTAGCTGTCTCTGTCTGGCATAGTAGCCCCCGCTGTTATAACAACTTGACATGTGCCCCCCCTGCTTTTGTGACCCTTCTAACTTTGGACAGCGTTCATGTCTATAAGTCATTTATGATCACTATGACCAGCAGAATCACTTGGCAAGATTGAATAAATGGATTGGTTGGCAGCCTTTAGCTGTGTCTGAGAGAATGCAATACACATCACTTTCTGCTTTGTCTTTGTGTCACTTGGTGCATTTCCTGTATTTTTCTGTCACAAATTTTCTCCTCGGGAGCGGAACCCTAATGTATAATGTTGCACATGTGAAAAATAAGGGTTAGAGACCAATGATGGCTTGCTTTACAACTTTTGTCAAGGAATCAGTTAGGTCATAAATGTAAGATTGCCTGTTTTGCCCTCCTGTCTCAAGCCCTCCACTGGGTTCCATTGCTTTTGGCCTGATGTGAAAGCTCTGTGTCAGGATCTTCTCTCCAGCTGAGATATTTGGCCCTTTTGCTCTATCCTGACTTCAGAATCTTATTGATTTTAATTGGCTCTCAGCATGCTTAGTTGTGGTTTTGTTTCTGCAAGCTTAATTCACTGCCTTAGCCTTCCTCAAACTTGTGCCCTCTGATCCTTGTCTATTGCTGAGGCTGATGGCAGTATAATCCAAAATATTTGTAGAATACTATGTTGGGAAAAGCTGTGCTAGCCTTTCATGGCTGCAGAACTGCCTTCTAAATGGAAGTGAGGCAAGTCCTGCTGCAGAAGGCTGGATTATTAGTGATGCAATTGGAGCAGATGCTGCAGGGTCCTGGTGGCAGGGAGCCCAATGTTGCCACTATACCCAGTGGCAAATTTGTTTTGATTTATTGGTTAGAGCTGCAGTTGTGTGTTCAAGAGGTGTGTTGTAGGAACATAAACTGTAGTCCACAAACATTTCTTATATGACCTATTCTGAAAGGTTCTATTGGGGGTTTACTGTATGCACAGTTACCTGAGCAGTAGAATAAAAATGCACTTCAGGCTGTTAATCTCACTGAAATTGCAAGGCTGACAATGTGTTCCTATATGTTGTGTGTGGCTGTCAATTGTAGTTTGTATTTCCTAAAACTCCCTTATTCAAAGAACTGCCTGTCAATTGTAGTTTGTATTTCCTAAAACAGAACACACAAAGTGTCCCTTATTCAAAGAACTGTCCCAGGGCCCTCATCCCATCTCACATCCACATGTTGAGTCTACCAAGCAGGAGGAAAAAGAAAATCCACTGGGAACCTTTTCCTGCCCCATTGATTCAAGGGATGGTTGGAGGAGGGGCTGCAGTTATGCGGTGGGGCACATGCCTTCCATGCAGAAGGTCTGAAGTTCAATCCAGTGGTGCTTCCAGGCAAAGCTGGAAACCCCTCTGCCTGAAATCCTGAAAGCTACAACTGCTCTGTATTGACAGTACTGGGCTACAGGGGCCAAAGTTCTGATTCTGTAGAAGACAGCTTGCTATGTCTTATTTTTGTATAGCCAGTCTACAAATAGTGAGAGAACATGTTTTCTTTAATGGCCCTTTTTTTCTCGGCAGCACTAATAGAACCCAAAAACTATACCATTGTGGTTGTTAATATCTGTTGTGTTTACGTGGCCAAGCTCTATAACCATTATTACCATTGGCTGCAACTGATCTACCACATAGGAGACAGTTTCCGTGACAGTATTTATATAACCGCTGTTGCTGGCATACCATCGCTGTTGTTCCACCAGAGTATTATTTACACTGCAGTTGTAAGAGATATTAACATCTGTGGAGCCAAAGGAATTCACACGCATTTTACTGCAATAAAGGAAAAACACTAGTGTTACTCCTTACCATCTGTGATGTTTGGTTCTATGTAAGACACTATCTCTGTGTGAAGCAAAATAACTGCCTCTTTTGTAGAACAGACACAGTGCTTGTAAGGAAATGCAGCAATCCTAGCAGTTTATGACAGGGTCAGCAAGCTGGTACCTTCCTAATGTTTTGGACTACAGCTTTCTTGCCATTGGCTGTGCTAGTTGGGGATGATAAGAACTGTAGTCTAAAATCTGGATGGTATCAGGATGTCCTAACTGTGGTGTTGTATCATAAAGCTGAAGCAGTGAGTTCAGCAGTCAGAGGTGAGCCATAAAGAGAAGCTGGTCCTGAAGAGCTCTTTGTAAAAGAAGCAGGAGGGGGTGTTTCTGGCTGCGTGCTTGACAACAGCAGTATCAGTTGCAAAGAAAGCCTGGCAAGAGTCTGATTGTCAGCATTGCTGATTAAAATGATAGAAGGCTAAAACTAGGAGGAGAAAAGTGGACAGATGGCACTAATGGTCCCATCAGAAAATACTGCTGGGTTATGTGTGGGAGAAGCAAAACCTCATAGTAGAGAGAGGACATCCTGTGTGTTTCTCCAGAACTGCTCTAGAAAATTTACACCAGCAGTTCCCCCCCCTTTTTTTTTGGCAATCTACGGTCTTCTGAATTTTTGAGAAATCTTCACAACCTCCCCATCTTTCCAGTCCCCTTTCATTATTTAAATACAATTTTGAAGAAAACAGTTTTTCTTGTGATACATGGGACGTTAAAAAGTAATGCAATGTAAGAACTAGTAGGAACAGAACCAATTTAATGTGAAATCTACTGAACATCTTGTGCCCTCCCTTGAAATGTCTTAATGCCCTCTGGAAGAGCACTTCCTCACCCCCTCCAATTTTGGAAACCTATGACAATCTCTGAGACCTGTGGCGACAGAAATGAGTTTGACGGAAATGCTATAAAATTTTCAGACCTTGCTAAACAGCGCAAGGCTAGAAGTATAATAATAATGACAATAAAACATATGAGCAGTGAGTGTAAGAGGGAGAAGTTAATTCTTTCTTAATAAAGACAGAAATAAGGTCAGGCTTATTTTCCTTAAGGAATGAGAAAACTTTAATACAATGCATTATAAATAGTAAGTTTCTTGCAGTGAATTCTGTTTAACAGTAACAAAGGCATGATTATAATTGGCTGAAACCCAGTAGTGAGTCACAACTAGAAGTAGGCCTATTAAATCAGTGGGGATTTGGAGAGTCATCACCTATGTGAGTTCTGTTGATTTAATTGGCCCAGCCTATGAGGGATAACATCACTACTTTTGCTGTGCAACATAACTTGTTACTTGTATAGTTGGTGTGGCCTTGTTAAATGATAGTAAGGTAATATCAAAAGCTTTTAAGTGTCGATCTGTGGTATGTGCTGGATTCAGAATTTAGAAAAACAAACCTGAAAGCAAGGACTTAATTTTAAAAAACATATGACAGTTACACACTATGTTGGGGCTCAGAACTGTTTACACACTATGTTGGGGCTCAGAACTGTAACTATAACTAGTGACCTTCAGAAAGTAACTTTACAAACTCTTGGAAAGAAGTAGTAGTAGTTCTTTTAAAGGTCCTTTTAATGGAGAAAGGTGGCAGAAAGAAAGACAGAAAGAAAGACAGAAAGAAAGACAGAAAGACAGAAAGAAAGAAAGAAAGACAGACAGACAGACAGAAAGAAAGAAAGAAAGAAAGAAAGAAAGAAAGAAAGAAAGAAAGAAAGAAAGAAAGAAAGAAAGAAAGAAAGAAAGAAAGAAAGAAAGAATACAGTATAGTGAACACTGGAAAAAGTGGAGGGTAACCGAAATTAGGCTTTGTGGATAAAATACTTGAGAAGATTCTAGAATCTTTATTTTTCAAAAAATGTAATGCTTGTGAAGTCACTGATATGGGGGTGAGGTGGGAATTTGAAGCTGTATCTTCACTCTCATTGTTAGCCTGCTGTTGTAATGGCTGAAATCCTGTTGCTTATCATAGTAAATTGCAACTAGAGTAGGTCCACTGAACCAGTGGGAACTGGGTGAGTCAATTTCTCTATAAGTTCCACTGATTCAATGGTCTTACTCTAGTTGCAACTTATTTAGCAACAAATTTTCTGCCTAATGCATACCTAAAAATAATGGAGGATGAAAGTAAATTAGGATCCCCACCACCTCAACAGTCAAATATTCCCTTTCATAAATGCACCAGCTTCTAGGAAGAAACACAGGTTTAAGGTTGCCATTGCCTGTGGTTTAGATACAAACACTGAGGAGGCAGCAGGACAAAAATCCATCAAAGTCTCCCAGGATCTCCTCTGGCATTTCTCCCTCCCTCCCTCCCTCCCTCTTCCTTACTCTCACAATTTGTGGAGTGCGATTTCATTAGATTTGTAAAAGATTCAAACAGTTGGGAGGGGAATGAAGATATTTGAGAGGGACTGGATTATATCCAGTCTGATTTGTAAATGCTGGCCAAAGCAAGTTGACTTTTTTCAGCTGTTTTTCTTGAAACTCAAACAGGGCCATAGGGTGGTTACACCCAGGCTTTTATTTTATTTTATAGATCAGATTTTGCTTAGACCAATGTAGAGCTAACTTTGATAACACAACAGGGCTCCGCTGGTCTTTGCTTCTTCGTGCTGGGCTTTATTCAGCTGCTCCTGATTAACAATTACATTGTTAATAAACTGTTAAAATACATTGGACAGGGATAAGTGGGGTACTTAACTTGCAGAAGAATGTTTTCTGACTAATAGCAATCCTGGTTGCCCCTCAATAACAGCATTTGCTCATGTTCTTGGTTCCTTTCCCAGGTGCTTGGCCTCTACAATACATTGAATCCAGAAGCATCTGCTTCCCCATGCTGTGTTCCCCAGGATCTGGAGCCTCTGACCATCCTATACTATGTTGGAAGGACCCCCAAAGTGGAACAACTCTCCAATATGGTGGTGAAATCCTGCAAATGCAGCTGAAAAGGACCCAGCACCACACACAGCTGAGAAGAACCACAGAGACCCCCTTCAGCTGGGCAGGAGGCTACTGCAGTGTAGCCTTCTCAAGATGCAATCCAGGGCCATCGCCTCACTTCAAAGACTGTATACAACAAAAACACTTCTCTGCCTTCCTGCCTCTCTCTGGAAGTTACATTTATAATGTGGTGGCTCGAGGATGTGAACATACATAGACTAGATGTTTAGCAGTCAATGCAGAGAATCTCACTCTAAGGAGATTTTATTAAAGCGGTGGACAGAGGGCAGGAATATGTAGAAGCCCCCCCCTCGCCCCCACCATAGCATTTTCTGCAAAAGGATGACGATTTCCTTATGAAGGAACATAATTTCATAGGAACCAGGCTGAAATGGAAATAATTATTCTGGAGACAGTGGATGCAGGAATCTGTGGTCCAAACAATGTAAGAGGACCTGTGTCCCAACTGTAAGAGGACCCCGATTACAATCAAGGCGAATTCTTCCACGGCTTCTCTCTTTCTCCCGGAGTCCCTGCTTGATGTTTTCCGGGTCAAAGTGGACAGCTTTGCTCTTGTGTCCATTACCAGGCAGTAAAAGTGTTTGTATTTGCTCTGGTGATTGAGATAGAGTAAGAAAATCTGCACACCTCTTGCACAAGGACCTGGCCGAGGCCACACCTGTCAAGGTTTTACTACGAAGTATTAATCTCAAATATTATAAAAATAAATATTTTTTTTTCAAATTGGAATTGGATATTCAAGTATATTCTTTGGCTAAGGGATGGATAAATGCATCTGCTGGAGAAGTATGCACAAGAACACATCAGCTACATGTCTCTCCTGAAAGCCTGCCAGCTAGAGCCAATCCCAAAACATCTTGACAAATGAATTGTTTGGATGAGAGAGGAGGAATCTGTTTGAACAGATGAGGCCTGTACTGTACTTTGGACACATTTCAGTGTTCCCAGATGGGGGTTGCCTGCTTAGAAAGCTGCCACAGGCCCTCCCATTGGGTGGACCAAGATGGTTGCCTCAGGCAGCAGGTTTTGAATGTCATGAAAGGGCAGAAAATCATTACATATTTACTTTGCTATGATTAATTTTCTGGCAAGGAATAGGGAGAATGGCTCATGGGATGCTCTGTCTCATGGGCCAAAGTAATTGGGCTGACCTTAGGTATGAATGTGCCAAGAAGGGTTGCCATTTGTTTTTGTTTTTTTGTTTTGTTTTGTTTTTTTACTCATGGAGCAAAATATCATGGGATGTTTCTGAACTTTATTATGGTAACACTGCTGCTCTTTTACTGCTTACTGACCTGTCTCATGCAGTGCTGTCTCCTGACTAGCTAGTAGCAATTCTCCATAAAGCTCTCACTCAGCTGTAAAAATCCAGTGATGGCAAGGTTTCAAGTTTCTCTGATGTGGGTTTCTCCACAAGGGTGGTGGCGGGACCACACCTAATAGATTCCCCATTATTAGGTAACTCCTATGAGATACACACAGGACTTGGGTTGGCAATGCAATAGCCCTTAACTGACCTATAATACTGAGAATCATAGAATAAAAGAGTTGGAAGGAGCCTATAAGGCCCTGGGGTCCAACCCTCTGTTCAGTGCAGGAATCCAACTTAAAAGTATATCTGAAATGCCTCCAGTGTTGGACAGCTCCTCACCTTCAATGTCATTAGTTCTATTGATGTGCTGCCCTTAAGAGTTGGGATTTCCCCCCCTCATATTCAGCCAATATGGATTCTTCTATGTGTTTTGGGGGGTTTGCTTGGTTGCTGTTGTTAGTGCTTCTTCCTTTTTTAGTCATCAGCTCATAACTCACAAGGGGAGGTTGTGCAGAACACAAAGGTGAGACAGCTAAAGTACTTGCCACAGAAAAATACATAAAATATACGTGTATGATTCCAAGCACATCCTGCCATTAGAAAAAAAGGGGTTCTTGCTCATGTGTGGAGCCTACACATAAGCAGGAACATCACCTCTGATGGCAAGGTCTAGCTAATCTCCTCTATTCAAGGGGAGCTTATCTGGATAGGGAGCCACATAGTAAGGGGCTTACAAATTCAAACTGAACCAAGCACGGCAGATTTCTTGTGGTGGTGGTGGTGTGTTCATGGTTCTGCCCTGCGTGGTGCTGGAAGCAGCATCGAGTGTTTTTTGTTTTTGTTTTTTTTAACAGGGGGAGCAAAAGGAATACAATTTTATATTCTTTACTTGGGCACAATACTAACTAGTAACAATTCTACTGTGTTCAACGCCATATCATTCTTGACCACTTCTTCTCTGTGCCTCTGACACAAGTTTATTTATACTGTACAGTATTTATATTTCTACTTTTCATATTGTCCCCACCGTCTTAACTTTATTCATGTGTTTCTCAGCCAGTCTTCCATCTACTCTAAATTCCTTTTCTCTCTCTCCCTGTCACCACTATACACTTGCTTAATATTAGCCGAGTAAAAATTTCCTATAGACAATTCATTAGCTGCTTCTGTTCTCAATGGACTTTTTGTTGTTGTTCTCCTTCAGCTCCACAAAAATATTTTCTGCGCTCTGAGTCCTGTTTCACATTATATAAGGATTTACCCTGACTTTCTTCCATGGCCTTTTATCTACAAAGCTACTTATTTCTATGTAATGTATGGCTATTTCCCAATGGATCTTACTGTGCAACAATATTCCTCCAGCGGAGGGAGAACATATTTGGCCCTTACATATGTTGTCATCACACACAGTTCTAATATAGACAGTCGAAGCCCTTTCCTGGAGATTGGCAAGATTCATTCATTCATTCATTCATTCATTCATTCATTCATTCTTTTTCTTTCTTTCTTTCTTTCTTTCTTTCTTTCTTTCTTTCTTTCTTTCTTTCTTTCTTTCTTTCTTTCTATGAATTTACCAACATCTGCATATGGGAGAAGGCAGAATATGCAGATCTGCACATTGAACTGTCATTTTTCTGTCCTTTTTCCACAACATGACACGGAGCTGTGCCTTCATCTCTGCTATCCTTTCAGTTAAACCACAGCCAAGCTGTTTATTCTCAACAAAGCAGCTCTAATTCATAATTTCAAGCATTTTTATGAGATGTGAAAGACTCCAGATACAGCAGCTGGGCTGTTGTCAATCCATCATAAACGACTCTTTTGGCTGAGAGCCTGTGACAGGGAAACTTATACTCAGATAAGAGGGTGCTTCCCACTCATTGCTTAACTTTTAACCTTTTAAATTTTATTCAGGTCTCTGTGACCTGTAATGATATTCCAGTGAAACAAGTAATTCTACCCAGATTAATCTTTAGCTTTTGTGGGCAAGTGGTTTTCTAAAATCTTTAAAAGGTATCTTCTAAAGTGGTCTCACCGAGTACTGCCACAACAATCGTGATTCACATTCTAGCCCTTTATTGTTTAAAACATTCTGCTCCAACCTGATTCTCATTCTTTTAAAAAAAACAACAGATTACTATATCAAGAGTATATTAGCTCCTTGGAACAGAAATTCCAATAAAAAACTTGCACGGATGGGGTTTGCTAATAAAGTACCAACAGAGTACTTTATTATTTATTTTATTTTATTTTTAAAGCTGATCTCAATATGCTATTTTAATTTTCTTTGTATTAACATAGCTAAATACATCTTGTGTTTACATTGAACCTCTTCTCAAAGAATTCTATAGCAGTAAATTGCAATACCAAGTCTGCCCACCGTTTTCTGAACATCACCAACAGGTTTTCCACAGCATTAGGGACTAACACAGAACCTTCATTTGCAACAAAGAACCATTGTTTGTACTTCCTATTAATTTCCCCCACAGAAGAACTGAGACCTTAGTAAGGAGCAAATGTCTTGTAAAACACACACATATAATGACCACCACCTATGCTGAAAAGCAAGAGCAGGAAACTTTTTTTTTCAGAGAAATTAAGAAGCTGGTCCATTTTCTACTGCAACCTCCTCCTCCTCAGATGCTGCTGCTGAGACTTGAGGAAAAATTAAACACACCACAATTCACTACAGAAACTGGCTAGATAGCTCAGCGGCTTAGGTATTTCGCTGCAGAGCAAGAGGTTGGGAGTTCGATTCCCCACTGCCTCCAGGGAACAGTCAACCTGTATGGCTTGAGCAATCTGCACAGTCCCAGGGCACCCCCAGAAAATGGGAATGGTAAACCACATCTGAATATTCTCTATTGGAAAACTCTGAAAAGGGTCGACATAGGTTAGAATTGACTCAATGGCGCTTTATTATTATTTCACTACTGAAAGACCAACTCTAAATGCTGCTTTCCAGCAAAGTAACTGGCAGTTTTTTAAACACATAATTGTATTTGATATGTAGTTTGAATCAGAGAGGAGGTCTCAAGGGAACCATTCAAGCGTACATAGGCACTTTAGTGGAAAAATTGGAGTAGTTGGTGGTTCTGGGCGGGGCACATACAATGTAAATTCATATCCTCAAGAAAAGTCAGGATGGCAGTCATGCTCTTGATACACTCCCCCCCACACACACTAGTTGGGAAACAGAGCCAACTTGTTTCTTCACTTTGGGAGAGATCCCTTGTTTCCTCAGCCTCAATTGGAAAAGCTGGGGGAAAAGTCTTTTAAAGTAAAGAACAGTTGAACAAACACATGAAAAAAGCAAGCATACGTGCTTACTGGTTTGTGTATTGGTGCAGAACAGAAGGGAAGGCGATTATGGTCCGCAAGTATCCACTTACCTCCTTACACATGCCTTTTGTCTTCGTGGTGGTGGGACCTCCAGACGTTATTGGATTACAAGGATCATTAGCCCCGGCAGCCCAGCAAACAATGACAAATGCTGGAACCAGCAGTCCAGCAACATAGTGGATTTACAGAGTTCCTAGGGTAGAAGATGGTGTTGAAAGTGCTGTCTGACATAAGCCGAATCTCAAATAGTGTTTCCTTGGGACAGGAGTGTGCAAGTAAACTTTCAGCAAAGTTTATGAATGCCAAGTAGTTCTATTTGTTTGTGGTTGCTATAACCAGTTCCAACGTTTTGGTCCTCAAATACCTCCTGCTTTATGTCCTTACCTTCCCCCACTTCAGGAACTAGAAGGGGAAAAAGAAGAATACATCCTCAGTTGTCCTCCACATTGGTACCGGCTCATCTCTTAAGAAGAGAAGGTAAACAACACTGGGAGCCAGATGCCATTCCCAACCCTCCTGCAAGCCAGGTGACAGTAGGGCAACAGCCACATCTCTGGCAGCAGGGCATGGCCACCTCTGATGTCATTGCTCTCTCTCTCTCTCACACACACACACCCCATTGCTCGGTATGGATTTTTTTTTCTGGCTGGAAGAAAATGTACTCTGCAAAGCTGGCTTAGAGACTCAGGCACCAAGTGTGTGAACGCACAGGCTCTCTCAGATGGGGAAACCCCACATGCAGCAAAGCCAGCTCCACAGCTGGTTGAAGGAGTGTAGTAGGCTAAACAGGCCATGGTCTTTCAATTCACTCTGTCTCTAGAGAGGAGGCAGGGGATCCGATTCTGCCCACTGCCCCCCCTCCCGTACTGGGACCAGGATCCTGTTGAGTGCTGCCAGACTGCAGTGCTCCATCAGCATAGCTCCATCTGATCTCCATTGGACTAGCAAAGATTATGGAGAGTGTCCGTTTAAAACAACGGGGATTTCACCTGCTCATAGAAAAGGGGGAAAATTTGGTATTTTAAACTGATGCTCTCTGCAACCTCCATTTGTGTAACAGAAATGAGATGGAACTACTAGATACACAAGCTCCTTGTGAAATGCTCAAACAATGAATTATTGCATGAGTGGAAGTGGCATCTGTCCAAAGCACCAACACAGTTTACTTGGGTCTCCTCCTATGTGTGACTTAAGTTGGGCACAGGTTAGAGCTTTTCTCATGCTACCTCCACTGCATTGTTGCTACCATCAACCATGCAGCTCCTGCCACTTCCGGCTAACGTATGGATCATATCCAGCATTTCCAAGTGGCAGGATAGTGGCTGTTACTAGAGATAATGTCCCTCCCTCTAAATCTTCTCCAGTCTTTGATGAGTTAAGAGTTGAACTGAGAAGCGAATAGTAAGGGAAGAGAACCAACCAACTGGGGTGGGAAGGCCACAAGCAGAACATGTATGCAATATCACTCTCTTGTACATGTTTCATAGCAGCTGGCTATAATGCCTCAGATATTGGAAGTAAAGTATCTGTTGAGTTAAGTATTAATAAATTTATTCACCACGAATTTGTCCAATCCTCTTTTAAAGCCATTCAGGTTGCTGGCCATCGTTTTGTGGTAGTAAAGTACACAGCTTAATTATGCACTTTGGGAAAAAGTTTGTCCTAAATCTCCTGCCATTCAGCTTCATTGAATGGTCCTGGATTCTAATAATATATGAAGAAATTCACATGCTTCACAGAGTGCATAACTTTATACATCTCTTTAATGTATTTCCTTACTGATTTCTTCTAGGTTAAGTAGCCCTGAACCTTGTAAACTTTCCTCATTGGATACTTGCCCCATGCATTGCTCTTTTTGGTTGCCCTGTTCTAATTAGAGATGGGATGTTTGTATTCGTCTCCCAGGGGATATGAATATGAATAACGTCACTATAGGTGCCCCCCCCCCCCGAATGAGCTGGTCTACTTACCATGTGCGGCCATAGTCGTTCACAGTATGGCAATTGCAGAAATAACCTGACCGGTGATTCCTGCCTCCCTGTGCTGCTGACCACTCCTGCAAGGAGGCAGGATGATGAGTCTCCTCACTCAGCTGCTGAATGGTCAGCAGTGCAGGGAGGCAGGGAATCACCGGTCAGGCTACTTCTACAATTGGCGGGGCACAAATGATGACAACCAGGCGTGCACTGTGCCACAAGTGGGAAGTGTACTGTCTGGTTCTGGGGGTGGGGTGGGATGGGGGAGTCCAAAGGGCCTGGCCACCTGTGGGGGTGATATTTGTATTCATTTCCCCTTGGAGATGAATATGAATATCCCGTATCTAGTTCTAATCTTTTCAGCTCTATTATACAGGTATCCTGTTTCAGACACAGTGACCAGAAATGTACACAGTACTTCAAGTGTAGCCACACCACAGGTTGGTATAAGGTTAGTATGAAGCTGTCAGGGATAATCAGAAATAAGTTTTTTTAAAGCAAATATGGAATTTCTTTTTTAAAAGAGCATTTTCCAACATTTTTTATTGAGCTGTTCACTACAACCATAAGATCTCTTCCTTAATCAGTCACTGCCAGATCAGATGTCATCAGTATATATATGAAAGTGGGATTTTCCTGCTCCAGTGAGCATCGGTTTATGCTTAACAGTACAGAATCTTACCTGCCATTTTAATTCCCCTTCTTGAGTTTGACAAGATTTTTCAGATTTTTTACTAAGATTCAGGCTGTGTATGTAGGGAAGGTAGAGTCAGTCTGGGAGAGCAAATAGCTCCTTCTTCTGGAGAGATAAATTTAAAGAACTATTCTTCCAAATTCTAAGAGGAAATCCTCACTGTGAAACTCAGGATAACAGGAACAGATTCCTGTTCAGTGAGAGCGAATGGACTTTTAAAATTTTTTTCACTGTCTCTAAGCTCAGCATATCTCCCAAAACAAAGTGTAAAGCATGTAGAATATTAAATGGTGGCACATAAATGTTAAATAATGAGGCTAACTGTATGTTCACATGCTAACCTGAAGCGATAGAACCTAATTGCTGGAATCAGGCTCCTTTAGAACAGCAACTTATGAAGCGTAAAGAAATGGGGGGTGGGGGGAAACCAGCATAACACATTTTTAAAAATCCTTCCACTGGAATAAAATTAAATGTCAACTAATTGGAAGAATGCTGCTTAGGATAAAAAAATGTAAATTATAAGCTAGACAAACAAAATGAATGACTTTATTTAGACTGAGACTTATATCTTCTTGCCAACATTCAAGACAGCAGCCTGCACACTTGCCTATTGTCAGTCAGCATTTGAACTGCTCATGTCAACTGTAGCCATACTGTAACAAAACTCAGCCCAGTACCAGGTCGGAAACCTTGATCATTCTCAGGATGAAGTGAAATTACAGCAAAGAAACCCAGGCTTTAGGATGCATAATACAAACACAACCGAAAACTCCTGTCTGAGGCAACAATCTACTGGCCATCTGATGGAAAATGTGGCCCAGAATGTTGACGGCTTAAGCAGCAAACACTCAAGACTGAGTGGAAAACTTCACGTCTGGGCCTCCGTAGCACATCTGCACACACTTAAGCTGTTTTCTGCCATTGGGGAAAATTTTTAGAGTGTGCAACTGATCTTATTGTCAATTCAAGTGGTGCTAGGAGTGTAGAATGATGAATCGCCGTTCCTGCTTCACCTCTTCCTTGTATGCTGAAGCATCAAATTGCTTGCACCAATTATTTAGGGATAATCCTTCATTGCAAAAAGTAACTTGAAGCAGGATCTGTAAAGGACACAAAGAAAAGCTGATAAATGGTTTTGGAGAAATAAATACTGCCTTAGAATGCAAGAGTTTCCGCTCAATGCAAATAACCCCCACCCCCCAAAAAAAACACAGCGCCATGGGAAATGGTCCCAATTTTAACTATAGGTGGAGGAAATTCTGTTACCATAGTTCTCGTCTCTGCTGTCCAGACTATAGGATATATCCTGATCTCTATGTGACTGTTAGTGGTCAAAGCAGGCAATAACATAGCTACTCCTCATTGAGAGTGCAGGTGTACTCTCTATGTACACCGGTTCCCTTGCATGTTCCAGGTTGGACAACACAGTGATCAACAGGTAGTATGGGTCATGGCTGGCTGGACATGGCCTTGGAGTAGAATGATACAGTATTAAAGGGAACTTCTGGTTATTAATGCTTATAATTGAGTTTAAATGCGGGGCCATAGGTTTTTGGTGGAATTTTAATTGCTGAGAGAAAATGGGGTATCTATATTTGGATGGTGAAAGTTGTGTATATTTTAACTTTTTTTTGTAGTGTTGTCCAGTTTTACCTTGGGGAAGAGCACCTCATTTCATTGCACCCACTTGTGAGCGCAATGACAAATAAATTTCTTATGTCTTATGTCTTATGTCTTATGTCTTATAACTGCAGCTATTTTCTACCTAATCTCTGTCATAACATCCAATAGCTTGAATAGGCCATTAACAACTTCTCTCTCTTTTTTTCTTTTAGCAAAATGTCTTGTCTTTCTTGCTCAGTCATTGGCACATTAAATTGCTATGTTGCCCTGTCTTTCTTTGATTTTTATATATAATTATAATATAAAATTCTTCTCTAGCATTCACCCAAAATTCCTAGAAAACATCAGATTTGAATTAAATGACACATAATGACAGAATCCTGTGGGCAGAGCTGTGCCATGCCAACTCAGAGGTTATCATCAGTCATGCCCATGCTGCAGCTTTTTCCGGAGAATTAAGAAGTTTTTATCCTTTTTCCCCATTAAGGCCAATGGCAGCAATTTTTCAACTTCAAATTGTTTTTTTCCCCTGTTCTGGAGTTCCAGAAAGCTCCCCCAGGATGAAGGGGAACTGAATTCAGTTTTGTGGCAACTGCTCATAGAAATACTAAAAATATAACTGTAATGTACAAAACCTGTCTGTTCTACATAAGGAATACAAACGTATGTCTAGGCTGCTATTGTAAGGATATTTATCTCTGAGCAATCTTCTGTTAAATTCAGCACAGCAACCATATATATTTAGATTGTGCAGCTGAGCAAAAATCTTCAAAATATATAGTATTTATATTTTAAGCATACTTGTCTTACAGAATTTTAGGATTTTAGGCACTCCCAAAACCTATGGCAAATTTGTACCTTTCTAGTAAAAAAGAAGTTTACATACTTGTAAAAGTATGTTCCACTTGCTCTCTCTTGTTGTTTAGTCGTTAAGTCGTGTCTGACTCTTTGTGACCCAATGGACCAGAGCACGTCAGGCCCTCCTGTCTTCCACTGCCTCCCGAAGTAATGTCAAATTCATGTTGGTCGCTTCGGTGACACTGTCCAACCATCTCATCCTCTGTTGTCCCCTTCTCCTCTTGCCTTCGCATTTTCCCAACATCAGCGTCTTTTCCAGGGAGTCTTCTCTTCTCATGAGATGGCCAAAGTATTGGGGCCTCAGCTTCAGGATCTGTCCTTCCAGTGAGCACTCTAGGTTGATTTCCTTCAAAATGGATAGGTTTGATCTCCTTGCAGTCCAGGGGACTCTCAAGAGTCTCCTCCAGCCACACAATTCAAAAGCATCCATTCTTCGATAGTCAGCCTTCTTTATGCTCCAGCTCTTATATCCATAGATCGCTACTGGAAAAACCATAGCTTTGACTATGTGGACCTTTGTTGGCAAGGTGATGTCTCTGCTTTTTAAGATGGTGTCTAGGTTTGTCATTGCTTTCCTCCCAAGAAGCAGGTGTCTTTTAATTTCGGGACTGCTGTCACCATCGGCAGTGATCATGGAGCCCAAGAAAGTAAAATCTGTCACTACCTCCATATCGTCTCCTTCTATATGCCAGGAGGCGATGGGACTAGTGGCCATGATCTTAGTTTTTTTTATGTTGAGCTTCAAGCCATTTTTTGCATTCTCCTCTTTCACCCTCATTAAGAGGTTCTTTAACTCCTCCTCACTTTCTGCCATCAGAGTGGTATCATCTGCTGACCACATCCAGCTTACATTCCAGGTTCGTATGCAGTATTTTTCTTTGCAGCATCTGACTTTCCTTTCACTTCAAGGCACATCTGCAGCTGAGCATACTATCGGCTTTGGCCCAACCACTTCACTAGCTCTGGAGCTACTTGCACATGTCCTCTGCTCTTCCTTAGTAGCATATTGGATGCCTTCTGACCTGAGGGGCTCATCTTCCAGTGTCATATCTTTTAGCCTTTTTTTTCTGTCCATGGAGTTTTCTTGGCAAAGATACTGGAGTGGCTTGCCAGTTCCTGCTCCAGGTGGATTGTGTTTAGTCAGAACTCTCCACTATGACCTGTCCATCTTGGGTGTCCCTGCACGGCATAGCCCATAGCTTCTCTGAATTAATCAAGTCCCTTCGCCACGACAAGGCACCAATCCATGAAGGGGTGCTCTCTCTTGCTCACGCACATATATATAGGATTAAAACATATCTGGTATTTACCTGTAAGTCCAACATAGATACCTTAATCTTTTCTGGATATTTAGATCCTTATGTCTTACTCATGGAGAGGCAAAAGCACAACCCTGCCCACATTATGATGACACTGGCTGAACACTGAAACACTCTGCCTGACACTGTTGCTTAGTGTAGTAAGTCACAACTAGAGTATGCCAACAGAATTAGTGAGGAATCAGTGAGTTAACTTCTCCATAAATGCCACTATTCAACAGGCCTACTCTAGATGCAACTTGCTACACTAAGCAACAAGATGTTCATCATGATCATGAATGAAAACCGTCTTGGGTGACTGAGCCAGTGTTTCAACATAACTTTGTGCTTCTGATATTGGGTTAAATCTTCAGAAGCTCCATATACCCTGGATTTCTGTAACAAAGCATGTGTACTGAGGTTTGTAGAGGGAGGTGACCACTGCTTAGACAACTTCAGTGGATGGAGATATTTGCAGCAGCCAGGAATAGGGGGGCTTTTGTTTGTATTTCCAGTAATACCAAATTCACTGTCTGTTGAGACCTACTCAGGCTTTCCCTGGAAAGTTCAAGAAAAATATATGAAATCTTTCCATTTACCTTTAATGAATTAAGTCTGTTTTAGATTTCCCTAGAACTTGAATTTTAAGTGTGTTTTCAATCATTACTGGCTAATGAAAAATTTTTTTAATGTTATCAGCCTTTATGATTTCAGTCTTTGGATTCTACTTTTTGTGTTCATTTTTTAAATAAAATGACCTGGAGTACTTTTAACATATAAACCAGACATCTGTGGAAATAATAAAATTAAACCACCTTTAATAAAATCTTAATGCTGTATTTTGGCCATTACATCAGCTGGTTGGTTTTTTGTTCATATAAAAGGTACATAAAAGGCAGGTGAGAAAGAGACAGCTAAATAGATAATCTCATGCATATTCCCCTAGTATATATTATGCATCATCTATTACAGCAGATCACTTTTTGCGGCTCTTCGAAGCAATCATGTGCCGAAAGAACAGTGTCACACACGTCAATTCTTCCACTTCTGTTCTGAACTCAGGTAGCTGTTGAACACATGGGTCTTTCTCTTCAGAGTTCCATGTCTGCTTTCAGTACATGAGAAAGGCTCAGCAGACATGGACTGTCTTCATTGCCACATTCATCCAAACCATCAGATAACAGGGAAAATATTGTTTTCTTTCATAAAAGGAAAAAGCTGATCCAAGGCTTAAGGGCCATACTCTTTGAAGAAGCCAAGGATCAAAGCTGTTCATTCCTCATACAAAATAAGTGCCACCATCCAGATTAAGAGAAATGGTGGTTCTACATTTTGAGTTAATGTACTTGACATTTTCTGAGAAAGGCTTTAGGAGAATACAGTGATTAGAAAGCAGCTCTAAAGTGCTAGGCTGACATCCACTTTCATGGAAGCTGCAATTACAAAATACAGTGGTGCCTCGCATAGTGATCGCTCCGTTTAACGAAGAAATCGCTTTGCAACGATGTTTTTGCGATTGCTTTTGCGATCACTTAGCAATGGTCCCTATGGGGAAAATTCACTTTGCGATGATCGCAGGGAAGCGATCATCGCAAAGCCCCCATTTTCGGCCAGCTGATCGGCAGTTCCAAAATGGCCGCCAGGTAAACAAAATGGCCGCCCCGCTGTGTTGCCTCACTTTAGAGGCACCGAAAACGGCCGCCCCATGGAGGATTTTCGCTTAAGGTTAGTTTTTAAGCCTATAGGAACGCATTAATGCCGTTTTAATGCGTTTCTATGGGCTTTTAAATATCGCTTAGCGATGAAATCGCTTAGCAGCGATTTTTGCTGCACGGATTAACATCGCTAAGCGAGGCACCACTGTACTGTTCAGAACTCATGGTAACTTTGCTTATTAAAGAACTCTGGAAGTGAAAGTACATGTTCCATGATTATTTTCTCAGATATTCCCTCCAGAATCTATATTCTTCTACAGTGCTGCTGCTGAGACTGAAAGTGGAAGACTAGCACAGACCAAACAAGCTTCCTTAACTCTTCCCTCTCCACACTCTTCCCTTCCTTAGACCCAGATGGTCAGGAAATAACCAAACAGTAGTTGCAAGAGTGAACTGCTCTAGCAGTTCCTTGAGAAGCCTCTTTCCAATTTAATTACACACATGTACACCCTTCTCGCATACACTCACAAACAAAGGGCTATAAACTTGTAAGTGTGTGACCACAACTTTCTGAAATGCCCGGAATACACCAGAGGCCACAATCAACCATCAGAAGTAATCCATGTCTACAAAAAGAAAATCCCTAACTAATGCAAGCATCTGAGTATCTCAGCAGGAGTTCTTATCTCCAGAAGTATGCACATTAGCCTGCTTTGTTTGGTGACCAGTCCTCCGGATTTCTTTGAAGTATCCTTCATAAACCTGAAAGGGCTGTCTGAACTACTTTTCTGCTCATTAACATGCTTTCAGCTCTAATTATGGGCTGTCTCTAACTTTTGTTTCTGGTTAGGGTTTCATTTTGCTGTGAGTGGAGTGAAACACTTATTTTCAAATTAAAAATTGAGCAGAATACGTATATATTTACCCTATCCACTTTAAATAATCAAAGGTATATAATAATGATTACACAGTAAGTAAAATAACAATAAAAAGTGAACACACACCCCGCCCTGGACTAACTTATAATTAAATATTAGTAATATGTAATTGAATGATACTTTGCACTAAAAAAGGTAATGGTTCAACAGATTCATCATTTTATTGAAAACTAACATTATCTATTGTCTAGAGAAGTAGCAAGTAAGGGTATCTATTCTTAACATGTTACTGCCAAGCTCTAGCCAGTTTATAAATGTATAACAATTTGCCATGCAACCTCACTCTTTATGTCTGGGGAAGTGGATTTGATCCACAACAGCTCAAATTAAAATGTAATTGTTGGTCTTTAAGGTGCCACAATGTTTTTGGCCTTTTTATTTTTCTTTGGTTTTTGCCTCATTTACTTTATATGTACATGGATGCTGTAATTAATGTATAAGGAATGCCATGCTACTACTGCAAATCATGGAAGTAACTGGTTAAAAAATCAGTAGTTATTTAGAATTAGTTCTTTTGCTCAACAGCCAAGATATAATTACATTAGACTTAATAACTAACAAAGAGCTTGTCTACATAGGCTCTTACTGGAGTGGCTAAATATAGTTGTTTAAGGCCAGGTAGAGGTCCGGTATGCCATTTGGTTTGATCCTTGTATCCAAATGGCATATGCACCACAAGTGACCCTATCTGGTCCAGCAAACACAGGGGAGGGGGACTGTCTTTACCCCCTCCTTTCTCCTCCAAAGCTGGGAGGAAGGTTTCAATTTTCAAAAATTTTCTCTAAGTGGTGTAGCGCAAAAGTTCTACCCTAATTTGTTTTTAAAATATTTCTTTTTGCCTCTGCTCTCTGGAGGAGCATTGGAAGGAAGTTTTTAATTTCCCAATTTAATTTCTCATTTTCCCCATTTAAGTGGTCAGGATGTCTGTTTAATCCACTAATGGTATGGGATATTGAAACCAGCTGGGAAATCAATCACTTTGGTTTGATCCCAGTAATAACATGCACAAACCCAATAAACCAAAACAGAGCAATCCTACTCCCCGACAAAATAAAAACAAAACAAAAAATAGAAGTCCCAGTCAGGAGCACAGAAAGGTGTGGGCAGGGATGCTCTGGGGATGGCTGGCTCGCTTCAGCAATTACACTGTCTGATTGTGAGAAAAAGCGAGTGAACCAGATTGTCCCCACAGTGGATGAAGCCCACCTGATCACACCCATAGATAACATCACTCTTTGTAAGTGTAATTGCACATTTAAAGTTACTTTTCTTTATAGTTATGGGTGTATGGACTCAATACACGGCAAATGAGCAAAGTGACAAGTCATGGCTAGCTTAAGTTGTACTTTGTGGTATGCTATGGATTTTAAAAGGATGCCAAGATGTGTTATGCACTAGAGGCCAGCAACTTGCAGCATTCAGATATCATTTTCAAATACCTAAATGTAACTAGTGAAGTTACTTTTGAGAGAGAGAAAATAAAATATTCATTAAAAACTAATTATAATAGTAGAAACTGCTCGAGGGTCTGGAAATTATGACATATATCTAATTATATTTCAAAATTAACTTTCCATTCTCTCATCTGTACACATTTACTATTTCATATGAGACATTAATAAAAATGAACCCGAGCCTTCCATAACCTTCAGTTATCACTCATGCACTAAATTCACAGGGAGAGTACTAGAGAAGACAAGAAGCCTTTGGAGATGGCTTTAAAATGCTGGACGGAAACCAAACACTCTGTCCTAGTGAAAGGGAAACATAAAAGCAGGTGTTGACTCTTCAATATATTGTCAAGTCTCTTTCCATACTCCAGATCACATTTCCTTCTAATCCTCTCTTCAAAACTGGGAGGCTAACAGAAGATCAACTGCAGCAACTGACAATGATGTGGGCTGTAATAGAGAACTGATTATTTATATCCAAATGAGGGGGACGAGATTGGTTTTTCAAATAGTCTGCTAAAAATTTCATATGCTTTCAAAGATCATTGCAAACCAGTTGTCACAACCATGATTTTTCTGTGTTGGGACTAATGAGAAGTGTTCAGATCAAGTAGCTTCCTTGTGCAATGTGGTATTTCACACTCATGCAGCCAAACCAAACCTAAGGCTAGGGTCACATGAGGTGTCATTTGAAGTGATTCTTCAAAGTCAAGCCAACCTGCGCACTCAGTCAAAACAAGCAACAGCTAGAAGGAGCGGGAGGGATGGAATTAATGGGGTTACTTTTGCCCAGGAGGAGAATCGTCAGTGCATGGAAAAATATATATTCACCAAAGGAAAATGGGAATGGGGGCACATTTTTCTACCAAAATAAAAGTCTATAAAGCACCAAGAAAGTTATTAAAAGCCTTGTGCTTTCCAAGTTGGATGCTCTTTTTTAACTAATAGAGATTTCATAGGAGGTTGGTATAGAGACACAACTGCTGAATTCTAACTTTCAGAGGTATGGCTGAAAAAGTAGCAATAGCACTAAGAACTGCAAGCTGTTACATAACCTATGTTATGTAACAGCATCTTGCAAACAATCATATTCAGTCATAATCCCTATGACCAAAGATTCTGGATGTAGCAGCTTACTGGGAAAAATCCAGAGTAGTGGGGCACACTGACTCTTTTTTTAATTGTTCCATTTAAAATATACTGGTAATTGGCACGTAATATTTTCTCTCTCATATAAAAATAAACCTCTATCCCCATGGGGAATTTGTCTTTCCCCCTCTTCTCATGTGTTGTTCTTCAGAGTTGGCAGAATTACAGAGTTATAGAAGGAAATGGCTGAGGAGCACCAAGGTGCCTGCTATTACCTTAAGCTGGCCCTCCCTCCACTGGCCTTTTCTTTCTTTGCCCTACAACTGTGTCAATGGCTCTGGTTCGGCTGGACAATGGTTTGGTTCTGGTGAATATAATCTGGGGGGCAACTTCCAAAAGACCTGGAAAATGGAAAAAATGGCTTAGCCTGAGGCAGATCCTTTTGGTTTGCAACAAAGCTCACCTCTCTCAGTGTGCAGCAAACAACTAAACAGCAACTCCACATCGTCTCGTATGTATCCTAGTCTATCCAACAAAGAGAGACTGACATATTCAACAACATGACAGTTGGTTTGGAGGTGGTTTTTTAAAATTTTGGAACATTTTGGCAAGTTCGTTGTTGTTAACAACACCACCACCAACAACAACACATTGCCCAACATGGCCAATGCTACATAAGAGATCCTAAGAATGCAAATGAGGGCTACGCTTTTTCTGTAGCATAATATAGATCTGTCTTCCTTCCTTAAAGACTTGCCTTTCTACAATTTCTAGATTTTGCTTTGAAATTATGGCAGCAAATGTGCTGGTTTCTTCTGTGTTCTGCATCCCACGGTGATGTCAAGAAGCAACAAAGTGCTTCCTGATACTTATATATTTTGGCATTTTCACTGAGGCTTTGTCTGCAAAGTGATCTTGTCAAGAGTTTTAAAAAATATTTCAAAGCAAGCAAGCAAGCAAGCACAGATCAAGTTGCAAAAAAGTGAATCAAGAACAAAAGGGAAACAGCAAACAACAAGTGTAGATGAAAAAATGTTGACTGCAGTGCCCCACTTTTCTCACCTGTGGAGTCTGTGAGTGGCTCACACGATGCAACACTGGTAAGGCTTTTCTGGAATCCATTCAGATGTCCTTCTGTGGAGATCACCCTGCCAGACAAAACACTGAATCAGATGACAGTACTGAAGACAGAAAGCCAATGTTTCAGAAGGAAAAAAGATTTCTCTACAATTAAGCCATTCTAATATTCAAAAGAGAACCGTCTTTCCAGACAATGTTACTTTTCCATTTAAAAAACAACACCATTAAAAATGTATGAAGCAAGACAGATTATTCTGTACACCTAACCTGTCCTTCACTGCTCTGGCAACATTCGAATATGATATACTACAACTCCCACAGGCCAATAATCACAATGGCTGGGAATGATGGAGACTGTAGTCCAGTAGCTCTTGACAGGCCAAAGTTGAGGAAGGCTGACATACCCTTTCATTTTCTATTTTGGCACTGACTCTCCAAATTCTAAAGCAAAGGTATTTCATATAATCTGTGAGACATAACTTATTTATTACAAGCCATTTAAATGCTCTACCTCAAAGAACTGATTCTGTTGCAGAAATGTTGCATTTTATTTGGACCTTTGCTCAGTTAATTTCAAAGAAATCCTGAAAAGGCAGAGCAGTGTAAGGCCGCTAGGTATGACTACCAATTTGATTGTAATTGTCTTTCTGGCCTAGAGTGAGATATAAATTTATTCTACCATTTTGCTGATTTAAAGACTGAAATATAGCACAAGCAGTTACAGGTCATAATGAAAACTGCAACAATTAAACTCAGGGGATAGCCTGTAATATAACTATCATGCAAGTCTATGCTCCAATTACAAATGCTAATGAAGAATGAATTGAAAACTTTATACAATTATCCAGGATAAAACTGATCACAATGAAAACGGGATATGATGAGAATCAAAGCAAGAGATAAAGAAGAACCAAGCATCATTGGAGCATTCAGCCTAAGAATTAGAACAAATGAATTAGACTCATAGGATTCTGTGATTTCAACTATTTGTTCATCGCAAATGTATGCTTAGATAACCAGATACATGATTGCCTACAAGGAAATCACTAGGCAGTCAAAATATAAATCAAATAGACTGTACAACTGGAAGGAGAAGTAGTAGAAGCTCTATTGTCTTTGCAACAGCAAGATCACTAATGGACTATAGTGCAGACCATGAACTCTTAATATGAAAAATTTGAAGCTGAAGAACAACTGTAACACTCATAGCACCAAAACATAATTTAAATAATTTTCCTGAAGTATTTAAATACCTTATAAAGAACAGATTTGCACAAGTAAACTCAATTTCATCATGAACTAGATAAACTGTGAACTGAAGCCTTAAATATAATCAGGAAAGAAGGTAAAAAGAATATTCTTATATCCAAAATAAAATAAAAGCCTTAATGGGTGACAGATTAAGCTCTTAAAATTGCAAACCTCAGATGAGAATCAAAAGTGAAAAGGGACAGCAATATAAAAACTTTTCAGCAACTTGCATATGGCGACAAAGAACATTATTATAACAATACGTATCTGTGATTACTGGTGGGCCTTGCGGATTAATACAGAAATAACTAGCTAAATATTAACTACAGCAAATACATCTTCTAAAAACAACAAACTAGACTTAACTGGAAAAAAAGATGACCACCTGATTGAACAGATAGATTTTTATAAGTACTTGGGTATTTATTTTCATAGATCTTCTATTTGGACGGTAAACGGGAAGCTTGTAAGGACTAGAGCTGCAGATATTTCCAAAATTATACTACATTTTCTTATGACCAACGAGGAGAAGTTTGGCTTTGCTGTGGTCAAAGTTTTTAAGGCCAAATTAGCTCCCCAGTTCCTGAATGGAGTGGCTATGTGGACCACTGATTTCCAGTCCTCTATCTAAAGCCTTCAGTTCTGATCCTGGCAGCAACAATCTGGTGGTGATTTTTTACTATTAAAAGCTCCCCACCTGCCTGTGTCCTGAGGCTTCCAAAGGCTTCCCTAGGGCAAAAGGGAACCCTACGGAGCCTTGGAACCTGAAAGGTGAGGAATAGGAAGTTTTCTATAAGTTTAAATTAAATATTTCTGGCAGTCAATTCAGGTTAAGACAGCATATATTTAAACAACAGGATTTTCCCCAATATAATAGAGAACTATTTTTAAAACATGCAATAATAACAGATTCTTTCAGAGAGTCTTTTGTTTAAGAATCTGCAATTTTAAGACTTGAAGTGAAAGCTTTTTGCAAAACATGTGGAAGAAATAAATCACCAGTAACAGATGGGATACAAATACAGCTCTTTCAAACCATAGAAACTTAATCTTTTAAAATATTAAGAATAATATACCAAGAGAGAGAGAGAGAGAGAAAGGCCACAGACTGGAAACATTCAATATACACGACAATCCCAAAGAAATGAGAAATGAGATGCCAAAGACTAAAGTAGCTATAGGACTATTGTGCTAAATTCCTACACAAGCAAAACTATATTCAACAGTTTACAACAAAGACTTTTTATAAGGAGTGAAAAATACCACCTGTTCAAGTAGGATTTGGAAAAGGAAGAGGCACTGGACATCATATTGTAAAAATATGCTGGCTACAGAGTATTAAAGAATAAGAATGTAAAAAACCACCTTATTTGCAACTTTTAAGTTGCTCAATAAAGGTGTTTACTAATCCAGAGTATTTGTTCTACGATGGATCACAGATCTATTATTTTGTAAATGCTGAGATCAGGTCTCTATGAATGACCATGAAGAAATATTATAGCTCTGTTTTCTCCATCCCCGCCACTCTGCTTCTAACATCAGAATAGTCTCCTACACATGGAGAGTAACAAGTCCGAAAAGGAAAACCTCCATTATCCATGGAGGGAGGGCTCTCTGAAGGAGACAGGATACAGATTTTTCAGGCTGTTGAATAAAATGAAGAGCCCCCTTGGACAGAGAAGGTGCTTCAGGGGAGCAGGTGTGGAGTACTCCCCATTACCTATAATAACTAAATTTAATTTTGAAATGATTGAACAGGGTGAATACCCACCTTTCCAATCTTCTTGATCATAAGGCCAGTTCTGTAAGCTGTTCCTATATAAGCAAATCTGTCCATTAAACTACCACCACTTTCAACAAGCAGACACAAAGCTATAAAGTCCAATCACCTTGGTATGTTAATTACGGAAAAAATAATTCCGTAATGAACATACCAATCCAGAACTCCCTGCCCCCCCAACAGAGACTTGTGTATCTTAAAGAATAGTGCAGGTTGTTGCAGCCAACATAAATAAGAGGAACAAGCAAGGCATTGCAGATAAAGAAGGATCATAATGCAAAACACTTATGATTCTCATGAGTTTATCCAATCATCTAATCAATTACTGTGTTGAGCTATTTGGTGTAGCTTATGGTTTTTAGTATGGTATCTGTTTGATCCTCTTTAGTATTTGTATACCCATTGTTGTTAACTTTAATACTGTATTTTAATGATGTAAGCCATTTTGTGTCCTTTTAAAGGAGAGAGGCAAATTTTATTTAATAAATTTTATTTATATTAAATAAATAAAAAAATCAAGCATCTGACTTAAGGTAGGTACTAGGCAGATGCCTGTAGCACGCTTGAAAGCAGGCCATGAAGGCAAGACCTTCACTGACGGGAAACTCTGCATTACTTCCCCTTAATCAAAAGAGGCTGGGGACTAACGGGTTGCTTGTGATGGGACCACTTAAATGTGCACTCATTCCTTGCAACTTGTTACCCTTATCTGAGTAGCCTGCACAGGGTAATGGTGTCAGAAAAATATGTAGTTATGAAAGCAATGGCTTTCAAATATCTCTTAAACATGCCTAGAATATATAACACTAACGGTCAGTCATGACTCTGATAAAGATTTTATGAATGAGGAAGAGTTTATTTGATATGCATTTTAATATAATGGTTTAATAGATTTATGGATGGCAGAAAAAAATTCAATGTGCTAGACCCTTGAAATAAAATACTCCAGCCCTGAAGCAGTCTGACAGTGGTGGAAATGGAAAAACTGACATTTATAACACATTCTAGATTGAGAAAGAATGGAGGGGTCAAATTACTTTAATGATAAAAGTATGAACTGATGGAAGCTACAGTATTTAGGTCTTGTAATGATTTTGCACATTTAATAAGAATTTTATATGTCTATTGTAATAGGTGTTTTTTAAAAAAGCAATGTATTTCAGAAATTCAGAAAAAAACTATGCTGGAACCTTTAGGACTAGCCAATCTCTTTCAGCCTGTCTTTTTGTGGATTGCTGTATACTTTCTCTAAAGCATCTGAGGAAGTGGATTGTAGTCCTTGAAAGTTGATGCTAAAAGAAATCTGTTGTCTTAAAGGTGCCACAAAACTCTTTTTTGTTGTGTTGAAAGAGTTCATCATCGTCATCTCCCTGAAAATCATTTTTAAAAAACTGATTTACACAAAGCTGCAAACTGAACTCAGTTCTACAAGTGCCATTAATTGCATTAATTGAATCCGTGTCCAACTATCCAAATATAACTTAAACATAGATGATTTTCCTATTTCCTTTACAAAATTAAAATCTGAAGTACTGTAGTCCTATGACACTTCAGTATCACATTTCTGTTTACTCCTGCATTATCAATTAAGAAAACTGTCTTCCCTCTACTAATAGCTCCTAGCCTTGCCTTTTATGTTTTTTTTAGCACATTGTATTTTTAAAATTATTATTTTTGCACAGATGACTCAGATGTGTTCTTCTATTTTGACTTCTCAACCTGTCCTAATTTAATAGCTCAGGATTTCACATACTCCTAGAAGTCCTACAGGCAGCTAAACTTCAATTGTTGCTGATCCTCCACTTGACTGTAGGTCATTGCTTCTTCTTTGAGTCCTGAGAACTACATTTCCCTTCATTTCCGGCCTTTGTCTCTTTTCATCTTTCTCAGTTTCACCCTTAATCCCTTTTTCTATATGCCTATATTTAAGTTTACACTTAAGAAACCATGCCAAAGATTTTCTTTGTACCAGTCCCCTTCACCATAAGATACCTCTTTACTGCCCAAGCCATCTGTCTAGAGAACTATCATTCCAAG